CCACACACACACACACACACACACACACACACACACACACACACACACACACACACACACACACACACGAGTGCAGGTGCCTTGAGAGGTTTTTCGTCCTCTGGAGCTGGGTTACAGGAGCAGTGAGCCAATCCACGTTGGCTCTGGGAACTGACCTCAAGCCCTCCGCAAGAGCAGTATGCACCATTAACCAGTCCCAGAAGGTAGCTTTATGTTCCCCAGATTACCGTTTTAGCCCCCACAGCACGATGCCTAAGTAGTATTTAATTCGAGATAGGAGTTTTGATGTGCAGTTGAGACTGGCCTTTCAAACTCAGGCATCTTCCAGCCTCAGTGTTAACCTAATTTGATCTTAAGTATGATTTTATTTTTTTCTGTACAAAACTCTGGTTTGGATCTGGTATGGTGACACTCACCTTTAATCCCACTGGTCTCATCGTTCTCTTCCGGGAACTGCTAGGTGATATATTCAGTTAAAAACTGGCTGAATTGGTACTGGAGAGATGCTAAGTTGCTAAGAGCACCGGTTGCTCTTGCAGAGAACCTGGGTTCAGTTCCCAGCAACCACATGGTGGTTTGCAATGGTCTGGAACTTGGGTTACAAATCCTGGCCTGCCTGGCCACTGCACACATATGGTACACTAACTTACATGCAAACAAAACACCCATATACATAAAAAATAAAGTTCTTTTAATTGTCTGAATAAACTAGAGGTTAATGGACAGACACCTTGTGGTTCAGTTCCCCTGAGCAAACTGAGGATTTGAAACAGTGGCAGAATGACTGGGGCCCAGCTCGCCCTCTTTGAGGCTCCAGCCCTCACTAGCATACTCTGTGTGACACCGTGTCCTAACAGGTGTTGGCGTTCTTGAGTCACTGACCTTGTCCTTTAGGTGTGTCTTATGTGTGTGTGTGTGTGTTTTTGTTTGTTTGTTTGTTTGGTTGGTTGGTTGGTTTTGGGTTTTTTTGGTTTGTTTTTTTTTTTTTTTTTTGCCTGCGTGTATATCTGAGCAACACATGTTGCAGTGCACAAGGAAACCAGCAGAGGGCATCAGACCTGCAACTGGAGTTACAGATGATTGCAAGCTGCCACGTGGGTTTCGGGAACCCAGGGCCCCCAGAAGAGCAGCCAGTGCTCTAACTGCTGAGCCTCCTCTTCAGCCCCTTGTGTGTATCTAGGAAACTAAGAACTCTTTGATGTCTTTATGACCAGCCCCTTGTGTGTATCTAGGAAACTAAGAACTCTTTGATGTCTTTATGGGCCCCAAACTTCACACAGTGCTGCTGGGGATTAAGTTTCTTATTAAACTCCTCTCTTACTGGGTGTATCAACCACACTTTAGGGCAGGCCCTGGAGTAGTTGGCCAACACAAAACAAAACCAACCCTCTCTTGAATCTTTGATAAAACTACCATTTTATTTATTTAGTATTCTCAAAAGATGAGCATCTATCTACACAATAGGAACTAAATGATTTTTTTTTTTTTTTTTTTTGGTATTTTCTCTGTGGTTTTGGAGGCTATCCTGGACCTAGCTCTTGTAGCCCAGGCTGGTGTTGAACTCACAGAGATCCGCCTGCCTCTGCCTCCCGAGTGCTATTCGATTCTCTGTTGTTGTTTTTTGGTTTTTTTGAGTCAGTGTCTCAGTGTGCCATTCAAACTGGCCTAGAACCAACTATTTCCCTGCCTCCACCTCTCAGATCCTGGGATTATAGGTATGTGACACCACAAGTAGCTAAGAAACACTGATGATTGAGAAAAACCTCTGTTGTTAGTTTTGTTTGTTTGTTTGTTGGGATCACAGCATACACCACCACTAATCAGTGGTCTAATTAGATCTGACACATTGCTTTGTGTCTTAGGACAGTGAAGGCTGCCTCAAGACTCCAGGGTTAAGAACATCTCTGCTTTAGGACCACAGAGGGACCTGCATTTTATTTTTATTTTATTTTATTTATTTATTTATTTATTTTTGGTTTTTCGAGACAGGGTTTCTCTCTGTAGCTTTGGAGCCTATCCTGGCACTCGCTCTGGAGACCAGGCTGGCCTCGAACTCAGAGATCCACCTGCTTCTGCCTCCCGAGTGCTGGGATTAAAGGCATGCGCTACCAACGCTCGGTGAGGGACCTGCATTTTAATGTGGCAGCTGTCAGGCATCCTCTCAAAACAACTGGCACTTACATCTGTATTCTTTCTCCAGATCTACCGTGGGCGCACTGCTGGCCTCCAAGGTAACTTCCCTTTGTGTTCTTGTCTGCTTCCTTCTTTTCTTATGACCCATGGTTTGTGTAGACGCCTTAGCATGGCAATCCGGGTTTCTTCTCAGTAATGATAAACGAAAGAGAGGGGCAGCCTCAGACCAGTGATTTCTATACCTGCCTGCCAGTAAGCTGGGCCTTGTTGATGCTATGTATGCCTTCCCTTCATTCCTAAGCTGGGATGGAAATTCTATGATGCTGATGATTACCACTCTGAAGAGAATCGGATGAAGATGGGAAAAGGGATACCTCTGACTGACCAGGTAACATTGGCTATGGGTGTTCAATATCTCTGTATCCAGCCTTCTTCTTATCTATTAGCCTAGAACCTGAACTTTTCCATGAACTCAGCCCCAGGAGTGAGCCACCTTTACCCTATCTTGTGCACAGCCAGCCACAGCTTGTGGCAGGATTCTAATCTCTAATCCCCAAATGGGCAGAGGCTCCTTTGTGCTCACACAGGGAGGTGGGTGTCTCCCAGGTCCTCTTACCGCCCCCACACCATCAAGTTCTGGTGAACTCCAAGGCCACAGTGGTCCTGCAAACTCAGATGTGGCCCAATTACTTTTCTATTGCTGTGCTAGAACACCGTGACCAGGGCATCTTGTAAAAGAAAGCATTTAATTGGGCTGACAGTTTCAGAGGGTTAGAGCCCATGATGGTGGAGCAAAGGCAAGACATCAGGAAGAGCAGGCAGAGAGCACACTGGGAATGCACAAATCGTTTGAAACCTCAAAGCCTGTCCCCAGTGGCACACCTCCAAGGAGGCCATACCTTTTAATTCCCCCCAAAAATGCCATCAACTGGGGACTGTGTAGTCAAATGTCTGAGCCTGTGGGGGCTGTTCTCGCTCAAACGACCGCACTGGCTACCATGTCTGAGACCCGTCAGGCTTTTAACTGATCTCAAGTCTGTTGAGTCTCCTTTAGAAGTATTGGGTACTCCTCCATTGCCATAGGAGCCTGTCACCTCCTTAGTCCCTCCCGTGGCTATGTTCCTCCTCACAGGGCTTTTGTGTCCACTGTCTCACTGCTATCTGGAATGTCTCCTTCACCGAGCAGCCCACGTTCATCCTTAATATCTCAGCTCCTAGGCCACTCCTTGGGGAAGCCTACTCAAAGGCCATACTTTCCCTGCTGAGCTGAAAGTCTTGATAATCCACCACAGGAAGGCTTCCCCAGAAGTAAATCTGGGCTGTTTAAATGTAAAAAAGGGGATATGGGGTGGCGGAGCAGTGTGTGTGTGTGTGTGTGGGGGGGTGACAACAGTGTACAGAACCCCAGGAAAGGAGGTAGAACTTCTTGGGTGGCAACTTTCTGTCAGGACTTGGGGGTGACAACAGTGTACAGAATCCCAGGAAAGGAGGTAGAACTTCTTGGGTGGCAACTTTCTGTCAGGACTTCCAGGCTGTCACCTTCTGCTACACAGGCCTAGTGGCCGCTTCAGAGAATATACCCAAGAGGCTGGAGAAGTGGCTCAGTGGTTAAGAGCACTGGCTGCTCTTGCAGAGGTCTGGGGTTCTATTCCCAGCACCCACATGACAGCTCACAGCTGCCTATAGCTCAAGTTCCAGGGGATTCTCTCACCCTCTCTTCTGGCTTCCGTGTGCTGCATGTACTCATATAACATGGGCAAAACACTCACATAAAATAAAGTAACTAATACTTAAGAAAATATATCCAAGAAGTTAAAATTTAAAAACATAAATAATAGTATCTTTTTCATTCCCATTAGTGCTTGAATGTGGTAGGAAACCTTGGCTAACCACAACGCATTGCAGGAGTCATTTTGCAAGGCAAGTTCAAGTGTTAGATTAAGAAATTAACTCCGTGGGGCAGTGGTGGCGCACGCCTTCAATCCCAGCACTCTGGAGGCAGAGGCAGGAGGATCTCTTGAGATAGAGGCCAACCTGGTCTATAGAGAGAGTTCCAGTACAGCCAGGGCTACACGGAGAAACTGTCAGAGCTGGGGTGGGTAACTCAAGGGCTGGGATGAGCTCAGCTCAGAGCCTGTGCTTGGCTGTAGGTTCTGGTCAGATGCATGGAGAGCAGGTTAGCTACAGTACGAGGTGTGTGAGCATCAAAGTCAGGGAGACATTAACACTGTGGGGAGGTTGGAGTGGATGTAAAGTGATTCCACTTAAGGGGACTTAAGTCACTGACACCAGAACCAGGGAACTGGTTCTGTGGCTGTAGGCCTTGGGCGTGGCCCTTGGCCTGCCTAGGCCCAGCTCCCACAACCACTAAGATCTCTCTGGAGTTAACATTTGTGACTATGGTACCACTGTGTTTCTGTACAAGCAGTACCTGGGACAGCTTCTAATTCCTGTTCTAATCTCAGGACAGGATTCCATGGCTCTGCAGCTTGCACAACATTTTACTAAGGTAAGAAGTCATCTGGCCTGGTATAATCCAGTAAATTAAAAAAAAAAAAAAAAAAAAAAAAAACGGGGCCATAATAAATAAATAAAATCTTTTTTTAAAAAAAAAAAAGAAATAACTAGGATCTGGGCAGTGGTGGCACACACCTTTAGTTCCAGCACTCAAGAGGCAGAGGCAGGAGGATATCTGTGAGTTCAAGATCAGCCTGGTCTACAAAGAGCTAGTTCCAGGACA